TTTTGGAAATTTTCTGAATTGTGTCAATACAGAAATTTTCGTTTCTATAAATAGTTGTTTGACTGAGGTTTAGAAATTTTCTGAATTGTGTCAATTCAGAAATTTTCGTTTGCATTAATACTTGTTTGACTGAGGTTTAGAAATTTTCTGAATTGACACAATTCAGAAATTTTCCGGGTTTTTTTTTTAAATAACAATACAGAAAGTAAAAATCAGAAATTTCTGAATTTTTTTATATGTAATTTATAGATTACAAATATGAAAATTTAGAAAAAAATCATTTTATCAGTACTAATGCAAAAATTCAGAAATTTTCCAAATATATCAATTCCCGTACCTTGACGTCTCGGTTCAATGCTTTGTTCATGGTCACTGAACCTGAGTATGGAAAGTCGTGAATATATAATTATTTTGTTCCCACGTGGCCGTCTCATCGTCAGATCTTTTTGTGTGACTTTTCAACTCTTCAACCAGAATATCAAAAGATGTTAACTAAGCTCTTTGCGATTTTATGACAGTGTTAAGGCATCGCTTCTTCATTTGAACTATTGTTGTTGGAGAAAGCTGCGTTCCTACCACATTTTAAGGGCACGTTTGCCAAGTTAAAGACTAATGCCTGATTTTTTGTTGAAAGAAACGTTGTCCGTCCACGATTCATTTCTATTTACACTAGTTAAACAAGTAATCCCGTAGCGAAAAAAATGCTTACAAGCTGCTTTTTGTCATGTATATACGAGTGCCGGTTTGTTTTTCTGTCACACTACAAAATCGGTCGCACTTTGCTTGATTTAAAATGTTTCAAAATTACCTATTAGCTGTCAATAAATAGTTTATTTGTATATAGGTACTATTTTTTTGTTKGAGTGTATGCACTTAATTAATCAGTGCAATAAATATTTATTTCATTATCGMCCTCGMCTCGAATAGTCTTGGACTAACTGCGAGGGCAAACTTCAAATGTAAATAAGGATGATTAATAAATAAAACTGTTACTGTTACTGTTACTTATTAGTAATTTGAATAGGCAATAAAGGAATACTCYATTTTACAGTTCCAAGCGCCATCTTGAAAGGTGGATCAGTGAGCCTTTGCRTCAAAACGAGACAGCAGTTGAGCCTGCAGTGATAGATACCTGTGAATAATTGTCTTAATAAGTGTGAACAAAGGGTATCTATCACTGCAGGCTCAACTTCTGTCTCACTTTGATGCAAAGGCTCAGCTACCTTTCAAGATGGTGCTTGGAACTTTAAAATGGAGTATTATCATTATAAACTTCAAAGCAGGATTCTTTTGAAAAAAAAAAATTCTGCACCTCAGGTTTTTTTCTTGAGTTAGTCACCGGCCACTGATCGTGAGTTAGCACTATTTTCCACTTTTTAAGTTTCACAATATAAATGGCTATAAATTGGCTATTTTTATTTATTTATTTTTTTTATAAATGTGTTGACTACTTTTATTCATTTATTTATTTTTTTGGCTATTTTTTTAATTCAGTCTAGATTTTTTCTCTTTTGACTGAATTAAAAAAAGCATGAAATAGATATTATACTTATACACCTAAGTAATCAGATCTTAAAATATTGCATTAATGTTTCCTTTTGTGTATATTTTACCATCACAGTTTAATAGTCAATTTTGTTTCACGTCATGTTCAATGACTTCACTCTATACTATAATTATGTTAACTATTATTTAGTTTAAATCTATGAATTCCCTTATTCAGATGAAAGTATGATATAGATACAAATGAATAAAACATCAGCACTTTCATCAAAGCTTTAATGTTTATTCATAGGTCGCAGCTACACATATAACTGTTTCCAAAACAGAGCTCAGATTATATACACTTGATTGTTGAATGGCAATGATACAATCAAAATAAGCTATAGATATGCAGTAATTTTCTCTATCATATAATTATCTATAATAAACAAAGGTATTTTACAACATAATTTGCTTTCATATATAATTATATGATAAACAGAATATTGCATGGGCTCGCAGAGATATGGATTTTATCTATGAGTGTTGAAAGATCTCAACAAAAGAAAATAAAATTCCTCAGAGCGCCTATGTAATATAACCTCTATTTCTAAATCAGTACATTGTCCAGAATTATATCTGCAGGAATCAATTATAATTGAATATTGTGTGTAGTCATTTAGACTACTATAACCAGTGAGATTGTACAACTAAAGCTATAAGCATAAGTTTCTATGGGTCAAACAATCACTGCTCGTCAATTCCCAATCACCATGCTCTCTGGCAAACTTTTTAAGAGCTACACCTACTTGCAGATACGTTGCCATAGAAAATAGGACATTTGTATTTAGTAAAAAGGAATAAATTAAAAAAGACAAAAGAAGATCACTGAGGCTGAACGCATTCTTTTGTCTTGTTTTAGTTAATTCCTTTTTACTAAATTCAAATGTTCTATTTTCTCTGACAACCTTTCTGCAAGTAGATGTGTATATGCAGTTAATTTCATAAAATAATTAATGTACCTGAAGGTCTTCATCAACAGAATGCATGACAGATGCTCTCCTCCACGTGATACTACCAGGTATTGGATGACTTTCAATGACGTAAGAAACTCCAAGGGTTGCTAGTTTATCCAATATTGGACTGACACAATCATCATTCTTTGATTCCTTTGTAGTAAGGAGAGCATCATCCACCAAAACC